CTTTCCTGTAGCATGGTAGCTTCCATCTCCTCCTGTTTGTTGCCCATGCTGCATGCATTGCTGTAGAGGCATGTCAGCTAGGCTGCTGGCCGTGTCACCTTCTTAGAGGAACACTCCTTTATTCCCCCAAGACATCTCATGGATGCTACCCTGCTGTCTCCTATTACCCCAGGAGTCCTTGGCGCATCTCTCTAAGGCTTTGCCTGTACTACAGTATCCACAGCATGCTTCAAAGCAACAGGTTGAAGCCCTTACTATCACCCCATCCTTCCAACCCTGGCTTCCTGTCGCTTGTCACAGACAACCTATATATTACCCTCTTCACATCTAGTTTAAAGCCCTGGGTTGCTGTGTCCATTCTGATGAGTGTTGGGGGTGCTGCCTTCTGCCAGGTAGAGACCACGGCTGAGCTCTCCTGCTGCCTCTCTCCTTGCTCCTTGGTCTTAGTTAATGCTTTTCTGGGAGGGCGATGACCACCAGTTAAGATACCTCTGGAGCCAAGAGGGGGGCTGCGCCCTCTCCGCAAGCCGCGCTGGTGCAAACTGCTGCACCACACTCTCTGACATGCCACCCCCTTTGCCTGTCCTGTCTGCCACACTCCTGGATGTTATGGCCAATGTGATGTGCTTGTATTTAAGTACCGTCAAATCAATTTTATCTGGAGTAATTTTCACATTCACAAATCTGCTTAATAGTAAAAAGTACAAACTAGGTGATCAAGCGTTAACATTTTACTAAAGATGAAACAAGTAAAGTGACTCTCCCAGTTGACATACCTGTAACAAGAGCCAGACGTTCTACACCAGCAAAGTCTGCGTGTTCAATAGCCATGACGCCAGCAGCTCCAAAGAGTTGTTCAGGATAGTTGTAGATCAACTGTCTACAATTAAAACAAAGGTACATCTTCCCATTACACAAGGAACAAGCCTTTTAAATACCAGAGTAACAAAGGACACTCAGTCTTCAGTAATACAGACAAGGAGATATTTATGCATGCTACAAAAGCAGTCAGTGTGTAAGGCACCTGCCATACATGCAGTGTTACACCACAAAGGAGCAAATGAAGTGACATGAAAACATACAAAGCTAAAAACAACCAAAATATTCAAACTATTGAAATGCTCTCCCCCTGAAGACATACTATCAATGCAGAGGGACACTTATGCCTTTAATTTTAAGTCCTTTGATAAGTGCCTCTGGGCACCGAACTGCTTATTCCAGCAGGGTGCACTAGACCAGTATGTGAAGTAAGGTCTTCAATTCCTTCACCAATACAAAATCCAAACAGTACACAATTCTATAGGAGCAATAAATGGCTAGTCTTAGAAGATATAACAGTGAACCACAGAAAAGAGTATGTGATCCCTTATTAATATGTATCCTACTCTGTAGAACCAAGCAGTCCTCTAAAGCTGAATTATCAATGACTATTCAAGAGTGCTATGCCAAATTATTTTTCCCTTCCAAATCAGAGACTGAGCATTGTAGATAATTCAGCAGG